TTTTTTAAATATATTAATTACAGTATAAGACTTTGTGTTTTTGTCTCTTTCCTCCTAGTTTTGGTTTTATAGGGCGGCAAAGCCATATTACACTCACGCACCTTAATGGGAAATTATCACCGTTGCAGCCTGTAAACACTGACGAACATACGCCTCCCGCCATAGATTGCCATAGTTATTTTGCCATAGTTGCCACAATTGGCAAGCGAGTTAGCCACCGCAAGTTTTTATTTTTTAATTCTTACTAGGAAGACGCTGCTGCTCATCTCCTGGATTGTTTCTCTCCGTCACCTCTTACGACGCTCACGGGTACTGGATATTCTTACACCACCACTGTACTGTCGGCGAAGTTATTAATGAATAGTAATATACCTGTTCATATTAGAAATATTTATCACGAAGATATGCTAAGGTATCTATAGGGTTGTTGGAGCTCTCTCATTACATTAGTGCAGAGATGGCGAACCAATGGCACGTGTTGAAACATTTATTATTATACATTGCAAAATATAGAAATATAAGTGCAAAGTGTATAATAATATAAGACTCAATTCAAAACTCCTAATTTAGTTTTGTAGTAAATAAAAAAAATTGAGTTCATATTGTTACGCGCTCAAGTCGAAGATACACTAGCGCCATCTAGTGTCAGGAACGAGAGCGAGGGGAGCATTGAGAAAATGACATCACAAATCACTCAACCGACAGCGCCATCCGAAGAACTAAGTTTCTAGAAAATCTACACTCGCACACTCGTCCCTTTGCGCGCATTTACTTGAATATTCCGGATGCTTCTTTGCTAATTTATATAAATAGGCGCTGCAAGATGCGATCGAGGTAGTATTGGAATTGGCGACACAAGCGAAGCTTCGGAGCAGAATGAAGTGAATTAGTGTGTTTAATTATTAGTGTTTTAAGTACTTTGTGAAAGTAAATTAAAGTGTTAATTTAGGTAATTTTATCGGCAACTTTTATTGTCACGAACCTCAAGCTCGTAACAATTGGTGTCAGAAGTGGGATTAAATCATGCCGATTTTACCTAAGGAGGAAACGGAGGGTGTCCGTACCCGAAGTCAACGCCAGCAGGAGACGGACCAACGAAGATTTGGTGGTGCAACGTCGCAGACTTCGGAGGGACAGCCGCCGGCTGCGGGCCCGTCAGTAGCTCCTACATCTGCAGCACCTGACTTAGGTGTTCTGATGGTGATGCTGCAGGAGCAGGCTTGCCGACAGGAGGAACAGGCTCGCCGACAGGAGGAACAGGTCCGTCGGTTGGAAGAGCAGCTGCGGGGCGGACAGGATGAACAGGCCCATCGACAAGAGGAACAGGCCCGCCGACAAGAGGAACAGGCCCGCCGACAGGAGGAACAGGCCCGTCGGTTGGAAGATCAGCAGGCGGAACAGGCTCGCCGGTCGGAAGAGCAGATGCTCCTCATTAAGGACCTTCATGCTACCTTTGGGAAAGAGATAAGGGAGGTGAAGGATAGGGTTGCTCAACATGACAACCGCCTGTCGGAAGCTGAAACTTAAATCAAGGAAGCTAAAACCCAAATCGACCAAGTGAACAATCGGGTTGATTACGTGGTGTCTGACATGAAGAAATCACTGGACGAACTCAAACTGGGTGATGGAACTACAGCTCCCGTAGTAGCTACTACACCTTCGCTACGTGGGTTCAAAGTGCCACCGTTCGACGGGACTTCTTCCTGGTCAGCCTACAAAATCCAGTTCGAGGCTGTTATGAAGGCGAACGGCTGGAATAAAAGTCAGGCCATGACTGCTCTCACACTAGGCCTGCGCGACCAGGCCTTAACAGTTCTGGAAGCTCTCGGTGAGGAAGTGACTTATGAGCAACTTATTGAGGCATTGGAGGCGAGATATGGCGACGCTCACCTGGAACACGTCTTTCGTGCGCAGCTTAAAGATCGTGTGCAGCGCATCAACGAAAACCTGCAGCAGTGGGCTCTAGAAGTGGAGAAGCTGGTGCGAAAAGCATACCGGTCTGTACCTGCGCTCATTGAAGGGAACCTGGTGCAGACATTCATCGACGGCATCCGCGACCTGGAAGTCAGAGCTGCTGTGAGGCTGGGGCACCACGAGACGCTTAAGGACGCCTTAGCCCACGCACTGGAGGTGGAAGCCGTGCGGCAGGATCATCGTTCCCATCGCGTCAGGGAGGTTGCAGCCGCTACAGTCCGTGACCGCAGCACAGGATACAGCCCTAGGTGCTATGGCTGTGGGGAAAAGGGCCATCTTCGATCCAGCTGCCCTAAACGAACCGTGGAAAGGAGAGTTGATCGATCTCGAGAGGGTAGTGCAGCTAACGGCACTGCCTGGCGGCGACAGGATCATCGTTACCTCACGCTAGGGAGGTTACAGCAGTTACGGTTCGCGACCACAATAAAAGATACAGCCCTAGGTGCTATGGCTGTGGGAAAAGGGGCCATCTTCGGTCCAGCTGCCCTAAACACACCTTAGGAAGGGAAGGTGAACGGTCTCAGAAAGGAAGTGCGGCTAACAGCACCGCCCAGCAGCAGCAGGAATACGACTTTACTATCAGACACTGCAGCGGGAAATCTCACGGCAACGCAGATGCATTGACAAGAAGACCTTGTCCTGAAGATTGCAACCATTGTAGTAGGCAAGAGAGTAAGGAAGTGGTATCCGTGAGGATACTCAGGACAGACCACCTCAGCAACGGGTGGAAGGACAGCCTACGACATGCACAGCAGGAAGATCCGGACATCAAGCCGATTCTGGGATGAATGAAGGCCCGTGCTACCAAGCCTAAGTGGAGGGACGTCTCAGCGATGAGTTCAACCACGAAAAGCTATTGGGCCCAATGGGACAGCTTGCTGATTCAGGATGGAGTCCTGTGCCGTAAATGGGACAATGGTCGAAGAGACAGCTGTCGTTTGCAAATGGTTGTCCCTAAAGCTAAAGTGCCGAATGTTCTACAGCTGTGCCATAATGGTCGTTCAAGAGTCCATCTGGGAGTTAAACGAACTCTACTGAAGGTCCGAGAACGGTTTTACTGGGTCCATTATCGTGACGATGTCGAGGATTGGTGTCGTACATGTACAAGTTGTGCGGCCGTGCGGGGACCTCAGACACGTAGTAGAGGAGCACCGAAATTGTACAATGTTGGTGCACCACGGGATAGGACAGCCCTTGACATTGCGGAGCCGTTACAGAAAGGCGCAAGAGGGACTCCTAAGATCGTCCATGTGGATCGCTTGGCGCGTTATTATGGGGTCGATAATGCTCGGGACGAGCATGTCTTAGGAGGGGCAGTGTTACGCGCTCAAGTCGACGATACACTAGCGCCATCTAGTGTCAGGAACGAGAGCGAGGGGAGCATTGAGAAAATGACATCACAAATCACTCAACCGGCAGCGCCATCCGAAGAACTAAGTTTCTAGAAAATCTACACTCGCACACTCGTCCCTTTGCGCGCATTTACTTGAATATTCCGGATGCTTCTTTGCTAATTTATATAAATAGGCGCTGCAAGATGCGATCGAGGTAGTATTGGAATTGGCGACACAAGCGAAGCTTCGGAGCGGAATAAAGTGAATTAGTGTGTTTAATTATTAGTGTTTTAAGTAATTTGTGAAAGTAAATTAAAGTGTTAATTTAGGTAATTTTATCGGCAATTTTTATTGTCACGAACCTCAAGCTCGTAACAATATTATTTAGTACTATTATTTTCCTAATAATCACGAAGTCAAAATTATTTGACGGCACTTCTATTAGCTAATTTAATATGTATTTAGAAAACTGGCACGTTGATACATAAATAATAAATAATTTATTATTCTTCACAAAGCTTAAATTAATCACATTGTTGATTGGGGTCTCCATTTTAGCAATTAATGCCTGTGTTTGGAAAAATCATACATAAAGGTTCACTACACCTGCACTGGTGTCTCCAACGTGTTTGCCGCAAGTTATAGATTCTCACGTAATGGTAAGGAATTATCATTTATAATAATAAGAAGGTACTTTTACTGGTTACAAAATTTTTCTCTCTCACAATTTTGCACAAAGACAACGCTACGTAAAATACAAAATTAATTCAGTATTAAAAACACTGGCAGATAAGCTTTATAATCTGTGACGCAGCGTCCGCCACGCGACTCGGTGCGTTCTAATTCCGCTGTGTAAATAGGGTGAGGTACCGATAAATAGACCACTCGAGCATTCATTAATTAATATTGACAAGTGATTCTGGGACCAGTGTGCCTGAATTATAGGCCCTGTATTCTAATTCTATTCAATGTTTATATATTTTATTACGCGACATCAAAAAAGGATAAAGTTAAATTTATTTTAGTTATTGTACATTTCGACTATATGTTCTTTTCGTGTTTTTATACGTGGTACAGCCACGCTGCAGCTATATTATGGTTGTAGTACAAATGAGTCGGCTTGACCGGGGAAGGACCACGCTATCACAGAATACCAGCGTAAAATAACAGTTCAATGCTGCTATGTATCGTATGATGAGTCTAGAGAACCGGAGACCTTTTTTTACTGGAAACGAGGCATTCCATCTTAGTCCTCACGGGTGACAGCACATCTGCACTTTGATTCGTAATCGAGGATAGATTTAGATTATCTATGGGTCACAGCAACCACTTATCTCCTCCATTAGGTGCACTGGGTGCTCGTTTGTGACCCTGTCCTATACAAAAGTCTACTGCAAGAAATGCGATGAATTTTATATAGATATTATTTACTGCTTCTTTGGGATTGAAATTGTCTCCTACAAAAAAGTTATCTAAACTTCGAAAAGTGGAAGTCTGTTGGGGCAAGGAAAATATAAAGGATAATGAAAGGAAATTATTATTTTTCATGTTGAGTTCAACTGAGAACGAATTTTACGAAACTCCACTGACGAATAAATGAATAAGCATTATTGATTAATATAATAAATATAGCAATTCAATAACACAACGTTCAAACAAAACAATTTATTATCAAAATTAAAAAAAAATTGTTTAAAGTTCAGTCTTCACATTGTTGTCTTTGTGCCACTTTCGGAAAGCGGCTATCGCTTTGAGAACGTCTTCTGAGAAGACCTGAGGCATTTCCATGGCGATGAAATGACCTCCGTCGTCCAAAACGGTGTCGTTGATTAAGTTTTTGTATTTGAACTTCAAGATCCAGGGCGGAAGGTAGGCCAGCTCATTCTTAGCTTGCAGTATCCAGGTTGGTACCGGTGTTGGAATCCTGTGAAAGAAAATTTTGTTATTTTCACTAGTGTTCGTTAGTTGATTTTTGAAAACATTCAGATCGATAAACGGATTGCCAACCACTATTACGGGAGGGTTTTATTAAAACTAAAGTTGTAAAGTATACATATCCACTACCCTATATCGTCCCGATAGTTTAGTAACAGGTGACAGAGGAAAAAATAGGGGATGGGCAGCACAGTCTTCCTAATAACTAGTTGAGCTAACCTTCTGAGCTGATTGTGATGAAACTTTACAGCAATATCAGGAGTGATCTAGGATGTATGTTATTTAAAAAAAAAAACTTGCAAAATTTCTTTTGTAACATCGAAAAACAGATTAAATAAAGTGGGTATTAATGATTACGCTTATAAACTATAAAATGTAAAAAAGTTTAAAATAATTTTTTTTGAAAAAAAAAATAGATTTTTAACACTTTTTTACTTTAATTTTACAACAAATCTAGACATGAGTTTTACGGGTAGATTTAGATTAAAAGATACGATCATAATACCTTTACGAGAAATCTTCAATTTTATCTATACCTATTAATAGAATGCAAAAAACCCTGAACTTAATATTACAAACGTCTGTTTTAGTGGTATAGCCATGCTGCAGCTGTAATAATAGTATAGTTGTAGCACGAATGGGTCGGCCCGACCGGGGAAGGACCACGCTGTCACAGAATACCAACGTAAAATAGCAGCTCAATGTTAGTGTGTTTCGTATGGTGAATGTTGGAATAATGGAATTGGATGCCTTTTTACTGGAAACGAGGCATTGCATCTTAGTTCTCAAGGGTGACAACTGGTGACAACGCATTTGCATTTTGATTCTTAATCCAGGATAAATGTAGGTGTCTATGGCCATCAGCATGCACTTACCATAAGATGGACGTGTGCTTGTTTGTCAACCTTAATCTAAAAAAAGGTGATAAAAAGTCACAAATATTTTTTTTTTACTTTTCAACTTGACACAAAAAACTATTCACTCTTTATCCCGTTTTTCTTTTAAATTATGATTCAAAATAGATTTTTAATTTTTTTTTACTTTAACACAATTTTTCAACAAAACTAGGTATGTGTTTAGATTAAAGGATACGATAAGACCTTTATGAGAAATCTTAAATTTTTATTAATAAATTTGAAGTACCTGTTTTTTTAATATGAAAAATATACAGATACTTCAATATTAATTAAAACTACTTTTACGGATTTTATCGCGTTTAAATTTAATTATTTTTATTTTTAATTCCCGACGTTTCGGGTGCAGCACAGGGTGTTTACTGACAAACTTCCCCGGCTCAAGGTTTCCCAAATATAATTTTTAATAGCAAACGACTTAGTTTAAAGTGGTTTTTGTAATTAAACTATTTGAGGTTTTGTTGTTTAAGTTCTACACGACGAAAACCCACGTTTTTAAAAGCTATTTACATTATTATTAAATTGTGTGTTACCCATGATATGATACTCTAAATCTTTTTATATATCGTGTGTTCACACAACGATACCTCCTACGTATAATATCGTAACCAACAAATATGCGAAAATTACTTTTATATATTTTTGAATACTTAATAACACCCTAAGTCATATAAACTATAAAAAATATTTGTATTTACAATGTTACCGGAGATATTAAGAATGTAATTTATCGTATGTTCATTTAGATCGAAGAAACGTATCGTATGGTGTAGTACCCACACTGTACGCGGGGACGGGGGGATCGCGAGCCGCGGCGTGTGTGTAGTAACTAGCAGTAGCGACAGATTACGCGGGGGAGCACTCCTGCTGCCGTTGACGCCATTATTCAAAAAACTTACATTTATTTTTGTATTTTGTGTGCAGTGACAGCTATAATATTCAAGTAGGTCATTAAAGACGTTGTGTCTGATTCGCAAAATATGGTGGACGTTAATAATTCAAATCTCGATGATTGTGTGCGTTGCTACGAACCTATGGTTGATGATTCTATTCGGAAAGAAGGTAAATCTTAAGTTATAATACTAAAAAAAAATATAAAATAACTATTACGTATAGTACCGTGCAATACCCGCAGTAAAATATCGTAAGTGGAAGTTACTATAGTCTACTTTGCATTTAAATATTTTTAAACTGTCATAAGTAAAACTTACGATACTTAAGTAGGGAAAATTATAAAAAAAATTAATAGTATTTTGAGCTAACGATATTTTACATCGGAGTTACTTTTGGTAAATCTATCTTATGCTACACTTACGATATTTTACTTTGATATGAAAATTAACTTACAACAGTATACTTTTAGAAAAAAGCTAAAATAATAAATTAGATTGTTTTTTTTACAGATGCAGATATTTCTGAAATAAATCAAATGATGGATTTGTTATCTGATTCCGAGGAAATAATATGTCAAAGTCGTAATAATTCACTTATCACATAACAAATAAGTAACAGTAATTACCAAACCGCAATGATCCGTTAGTTGTAAAAAATTGAATACCAGCTTAAACTCGTTTATTTCTATCATATAAAAACGCTAGTTAATTTTGAAATGATTTACTACCATACATGTCTTTAAGCTTTCATGGTCACTAACGTTAGAATGATATTATTTATCGGGATATTTATCATTTATTATTATATTGATTATTTCTAGATATTTTGGTACTTGCAACAGTATCTAAATATCGCCAAACAATATTAATCTAATGTTTTATTACCTATGTGTTCTTTTGCACGATAGTTAAAAATAGTCTTGACATTTTTTTATTTCAGGTTTTTCTGACGATTCTCCGGCTGAAGAAAATATCACACAACATCCATCTCCCGATTGTAGCTTAAATCATATAGATTTTGATTGTGATAACCATTTCTGTCCCTGGTTTGTTGAAAAAGATATTTTACCCCTACAGTCAGTTGATTCCAATATCACCGACTTAGCATATACCCCTCAAGCAAACACGCCTCTCTCTTCTTACTCAGAAGCAACACCACAAGCTTCTTGAAAATGGGTTTTCAAGCCAAGGAAAGATAAGGGAAATATCAGACGTCGACATGTTACGGAATGGAAGGACAATAAAAGAAAAATTCTAAGAAACTTGGGCAAGGAGTATAAGAGTCGTGATGGTACTGTAAGAAACAGCAAATCTATGGGTCCTGTGTGTCATACAAACTGCAGACTGAAATGTTCATCAAAAATTAGCGATGAAGAAAGACTTATGATTTTTAATACTTTTCGGAGCTTAGGTAATCGTGAAAAGCAATGGGCTTTCATTTCAAAATTGGTTGTAAAACAAAAAAACGCAGGGTGTTTACTGACACACAATCTAGACGCAATTTCACTTTAATTTATAGGCTATCAAGGGCAGATATAGACAATCAAGAAAACTATTTAACTGTGTGTAAGAAAATGTTTCTGAATACTTTTTCAATTAGTGAACAATTTGTATACACATCCCTGGAAAAAAGAAACAATATAAGTGGTTTGATAGGAACTAACATGCGAGGACATCATCCTAACCATCGTAAAGTAATACCAGAGGATATTATCAAAAGTGTATGCGATCATATAAAATCACTTCAGCCTGTAGAATCCCATTACACTCGCAGTAGAAGTAATAAACTTTACTTAGACGGAGACCTGAATTTTCATCGCTTATTTGATTTATATAATGAGTGGTTTGACACACTCGCATACTCCTCAAAAGCTATTACGGAATGGCAATATCGCGACATCGCTAACAAACATTTTAAGATAAGTTTCCACGTGCCAAAAAAAAAGATCAATGTGACAAATGCCACATTTACAAGAACCTGTCTATTCCTACATTATCACAAACAGAATTACCCGAAGAGCATATTAATAATAAAGAAATATCTTGTTAAAAGAAGTCGGCCGTTAAAGAATTAGCCAAATCTTCTAATAATAAACTATTAGTAACTACTTTTGACTTTCAAAAAGTTCTTAATTGTCCATATGGTAATATAAGCGTTTTTTACTATAAACGAAAGCTTTCAGTATTCAATTTCACTGTTTTTAATTTAAACGAAAAAGAAGGTACTTGTTTTATGTGGCATGAGGGGCAAGCAAAACGTGGGGCCAATGAAGTAGCAAGTTGTTTATTTAAATACATCTCCAAATGTAGATAAGGATCAGGGTACAAGTGAGTTTAGGTTTTGGTCTGACAATTGTGTAGGCCAAAACCGAAATCGTATTGTTTATGCTATGTACATGCATGCGGCTATTACATATCAGATTAAAATACACCATTGTTTTTTAGACGTTGGTCATACGCAAAATGAGGGCGACAGCGTCCACGCTTTAATAGAGAGGTCCGCAAAAACAAACTCATTTATACACCATTTGAGTGGTATTGTTTAGTTCGTTGGGCTAAGCAAAACGGAAAGCCTTACGCGGTTGAGGAAATGCAATACACCGACTTTTCCGATTATAAGGCATTATTAAAGGGCGCTTGGGTCAAAAGTACCAACGGGGATAAAGTGCAATGGAATAAAATAAGAGAGGTGTGCATAAAACCTGAAGATCCCTTTAAGTTGTTTTATAAATATGATTTAGCCGCCGATGATTACTACGTTTTAATTGTAAAGGCCTCTACTAGGCGATAATATGTCTCTAACGTAGATGCCCTGTACGACAATATGTTGCCGATTCCAAAGGCAAAGAAGAATGATTTGTTGAACATGTGCAAATCACAAATTATTCCCCATGCCCATCACCAATTTTTCCAAAGTCTGCCTGTTTGACTTAAATTCAACTTCTGATTCCAATTCTAATTAATTTTTCCTTTTATTTTATTTCTGATCTGATTTCTTAGATAATAATAAGTAATGATCTCAGCGAGTCCACATGTTTGACGTAAAGTTGGTTTTTTTGTTAATTTTTTATTAGAGGCTAGAAGTTTTTCATTGCTTATGTTGACAAATGAGAAAAAAAATAGTTTTTTTTCTTACTTTTTAAAAAATACGTTTGTTTTCTTTTAAATATTTGATTTAATATTCAGAGTTTGTCAAATACACTTTAAACTTATTATTACAAAGTTGTGTTTTTGTTGTTTTTTCTGATTTTGGTAATAATAATAACAAGTGCAAATTACCATTTTTGAGAGAGATTTATCTTTGGAATGGGTTTATTTCGAAATGCATTATAATTTTAGTAACGATGGTAATTTTATTTCAGTACTCCATAATTTACGATATTTCATGACAACATTATTCCCTAGAAAATTATATTAACTATGAATTACAATATATTTAATTCTATTTACATTGATGTAAATTGTCGTAAATACAATATACGATACTTTTTGTTTTATGAAACTCAACGTAAATTATAGTAAGTACTACCTACAATAAACTACGACATTTGTTTCCCAAAGAAAAGAATCGTAAGTGACTTTTTTAGCTATTCTGGTATTAATTTTTAATATTCTTTCTAAAAATATAATTTAGTTCATAATTGTCTACCTAGTACCTACATGCCGAGTTTGGTTCTTGAACGACATAAATTGACTAAGTGAACATCAAAAAATTACTTACTCATCTTAAAATTGCTGTACTGGAAAGTTCATAAAGTGCAGTTACGAGATTATACGTAGGAGGTGTCAACAAGCTAGTAGGACCAGTTACTCGACTCCATTGAATCATTAATTCATTCTTGTAAACGATTTTACAACAAATTCTTGTATAAAAAATTCCTAGAAATTATACAAAATTTGACCTACTTAAAATTCAAAAACTTTATTAAACTAAGTTTGTATAAAAAGAGTTATATATTATTAAGGAATTTATGTTTAATAACCCCTGGGATAGGTGATCGCTACAAACGTTACGGTAATTGTAACTAACATACATGATTGTAAGCTGTTATTTTTTTAAATAAGTCCCACTCGGTTTCTTGCAGTTTCTTTCCATGACAGAGGTTTTTTTGCGAACCAAGGGAAAATTAAAAAATTGACTTTCAATAAGTATGATTCATAATCTATACTGAATTAAAAGAAATCTCTTTTAATTTCAGCAACCACGATATACTACTTACTCATCAAGACTCAGGCTTGAGTATCTCTTGTTGAAAGTTTCGGAGTATAGCCTCATAGAAGTTGTGATGGAGTTTGTAGCCCAGTACATCATGAGATTGTCGACGAGCTGTTCCCGGGTGAAACTGCTGGTAAGTCCGCCATCGGCCTTTAATTTGTATTCGGGTTTTGTCCAGGTGGAGAATTTCTCAAGGATATATGCGAGGAGACCAGATGGGGAGTCTGAGAGCGCTACACCTGTAAGGTATAAACGAAGAAAATTATAGTTACAGCCTTTATACGATAATTAATAGAATCAAGCGTTACTTTTCGGAAGTCCATTTTACAACGTGTTTTTTTTTAATATAGAAGAAAGGTAATAAACCAGCACACAGTTCACCTGATGGTAAGTGGATGCTTTTGCCCCACAGACATCTACATTTATCCTCGGTTAAGAATAAAAACGCAGGTGCGTTATCACCCCTGAGGACTTATATGGAATGCCTCGTTTCCAATAAAAAAGGGTCTCCGAATCTCTATACTCACCATACGAAACACAGCAGTATTAAGCTGCTATTTTACGCTGATATTCTGTGAGAACGTGATCCTTCACTGACCGAGCCGACCCATTCATGCTAAAACCATAATATAGATACAGCGTGGCTGTACCAGGTATAACAATAACCCTGTTGTTACCGTTCATCAGAATCAGTATTCAAACGTATGGATATAACTACTTCAGAAAACACGACCATAAAATATTTAATTTAAGGTTCTATATCCTCTGCATTGGCTGGGAGGTAAGAGTATTGTCAAAGACCTCGCTTAACCGATTTGCGTGACAGTTAAAAGTAATGAAACCAGATACAATTTGCAAATAAATTTTTTTTAGGTCTAGTTTTCTAAACTAAAGCTATTTTATACGTTTGATTACTGATTCTAATAAGGCACTCAAAAGAAACCACAGGGTTTTTGTTACACGTTGTATTAAAGATGTTATAAATTAACTAAGATCCGAACGGCTTTACGTGCTTTTGCGTGGCACGGGTGTGAAACACAGCCAACTTTCTAAATCCGGATTGTTACTGAGAATTTCTTGGCAGAACAACTCCAAAACTCGATTAAGAATCAAAACGCAGAAGATGCGTTATCACCCCTGAGGACTTAGATGGAATGCCTCGTTTCCAATAAAAAAGGGTCTCCGAATCTCTACACTCACCATAGGAAACAATTAAAAAATCTTTTTTAAAAATAATAATTTATTATTTATTATTTTTAAAAACTCCAAAACTGATTTTATTTGGCCAGACCCAGGATACAAAGTTAAAAAAAATTCTATTATTAAGATATTTTGCTGTGGGGACACGCGACTGACACTGAAATTATATTTATTTTACAGAAGACGGCTATTAGAGCAATATATAATTTAAAACCAAAAGAGTCACTGAGGCATAAAATTTGGGAAATTATTATATTAACTCTGGCCCCTCAATACATTTATAAAATGTAATGTACGTATGTATGTACGTATGTACCTACGTACGTATGTACTGGTTCTTCCCAGGACGAAGTTTTTTTGCGAACCAGTGGTAAATGAAAAGAGTGACTTTTAATAAGTATTGTTATAATCTACATTGAATAAAAAAGTTTCTGTTTCTGTGTCAAAAGCCAAGCAAAGGACCTCATGGTCAGTGGTCACGTTCACGATCACCAGACTAACGAATCAGTCTAGTCTAATAGACCCTTTGAGGACCTAGAAACCCAAAAATGTCATTGTTAAAACTGAGAGGCTGGCTGGGATTAACCCGTTTGCAGACACGACTGCAGGAATAATTTCGGTCGGCAGACCACCCCACATGTCGGTCACCTTGTGAGCCAGGTCCAGATATTTTGTTCGTTTATCTGTTTCGGCTTTCACGTGGTTCTCGTCATACGGAATGGTAATGTCGACCAAAAATATCCTTGACTGTGCCCGATCCATCAGCACAATATCAGGCTTATTCGCAAGAATAGTCCAGCGAGCTCCTGGTGAAGAATTCTGGCTACTAGGTTATGCCTGTGCAAGTACTCAGAGTCAGAAAGCGCCGAAGAAATGGAGATGACATGCCTAAGTGACTCACCAGGATGGCGACAAGCTTGACAAATGTCGATGGTGCCATCCTTTAGGATGTATCTCCGATAGTTGTTGGTCTTTATAACCTGATCCTGTATTGCACAGACAAAACCCTCGGTTTCCCCGAGGAGGTCACCGAAACGTAGCCAGTTGAGGGAGGCGACTGTATCTACGAAGGACTCATGTAGAGCCCTGTAGTACCTAACGTGGAGCTCCTTCTCCTTCCATACGGTCTCCCGGTCGGAAATGCTAAACACTGCTGGGTCCTGCCATTGCTAGTTGGCTAAGGATAGAGGGGTAAACCCTTTATCACTAGAAAGACATCATTATAGAATGGATCATCCAATCTCGCCAGGAAGTAATGACGGTGGCTGCACACTTCGCGATTATGCATGGTGAGCGTGCTCAGAAAGCCACGCCCACCATGCTTTCGCGGCAAGTACAGCCTCATTACCGACGATCTCGGATGACGCATCCTATGGGACGTCATGGTAGTGCGGACTTTTCTATCCAGGGCGTTAAGTTCAGTCTGAGTCCACCTGAGTATGCCAAAGATATACACAAGGACAGGCATGACTCAACCGCTATATGCATGTATCTTATTCACACCGGACAAAAGGCTATTAAGCACTTTAGGCAAGCGTGCATAAAACATATCGCAAACTGACTGTTTCATACCAGCCTCATCGATACTGATGTTCTGTGACATACCCAGGTATCGGTATGTTTCAGCCTCGGAAAGGGTTCTTAAGTTGACGGGCATAGACAAGTCTATGCCCTCAGAGTTAGCAACCCTTCCCCTTTCAACATGGAGGACCGCACACTTATCCGTCCCCAGCTCCATTCCAAAAGAATTGCTAAATTCACAAGTGATGTTTAGCAATTCCATAAGATGGGAGCGACTGGAGGCAAATAACTTGAGGTCATCCATATAGAAAAGGTGGGTCACTTTTGTGCCTCCTTTCCGAAGCTGAAATCCCCTCCCGGAGCCCTATAGTAAAGTACTGAGAGGGTTCAGAGAGAGGCAAAACCAGATTGGACTCAGACAATCGCCCTGGAAAATACCCCTTCTTATCCTTATGCGGTTCTTCGCAGCCATCATCCGCTTGCTCTAGCAAAGGATCGTACTCCACTGCCCCATACACTTCTCGAAGAAGTCTCCAACCGTACAGTCAATCTTGTACAGCTGGAGGAAGTTCTTTAGCCATGTATGGGGCACCGAGTCGAATGCTTTTCTGTAGTCTATCCAGACGGCGGAAAAGTTCCGACGGTTGCGTTTCACCACTTTGCCAATGACCGCGTCAATGAGGAGTGGTTCCTTGGTTCCACGACCACCGCCCCGACATCCATTTTGAGCGCGTGACATCAGCTGATTTAGCTCCAGGTGACGAGTGATTCTCGCGCTCAAAATGGATGTCAGTGTCTTGTATATGGTGGGTAGACACGTAATGGGGCGGTATTTGCTCGGGTCTGTGGTATTCTGATCTTTAGGAATCAAGTGAGTGATTCCAGTAGTGAAGAGGCTCGGTAGCAACTTCTGATGGAGAGCCTCTTGAAACTGTCCGGCGAGCACAGCGTGACACACTACGAACCCCTTCAGCCAGTAATGATGCAGCCCGACGAGCCCCGGACTTTTCCAGTTCGGGGCCCTACGGACCGCCTCAGCCACGTCTTCAGGCGTAATGGTGACGGGGTCCATAGGCGTAACACTTGCACTCTGGCTCGCCACAACTTCCATCCAAGGGCCCTCGCTGTGGTTTACGGGCTCTGGCCATAGGCCACACCAAAATGCGTCAGTGTCAGCCTGATCCGATCTTGGGCCCGCTCCACATACCTCTGGTCGTTCCAATGATTTATAGAGCCTCTTCTGATCACTCTGGAAGAGACGATTCTGGTTGAACCGCCTTGACCTCTCGCTAAATCGTCGAATCCGCTTCCTCCAAGCAGCGATTTTTTGCTTCAGGTCATCTATGCACTCCGTTAGTTTCTGCGTGATATCCGGCTGGGACAAACTAATATTTGTCCCAGCAAACGCCATTCTAACGGTGCGCACAACTCTCGGTCTATTATTACCCGACCTGAACCTTGTCAGTCTACCGATAAGGGCCCTTGCCTTTGCGATACGATCCTCGATTCTTTTTCTCCAGGCTGGGATGGTGCTACTTTGTTGAGTAGCACGTCCAGCCATGGGAAATTTGGCGCCAATAATACGGCATACTGCCAGTGCGGCGCCAAAAAGAATTGAGTCCGTCTCGCAAAGGTCCCGGCTGGCTTCCAAATAGGTCACCAGCTTTGGGTTAAGACCCGCGCGACAGCCCGATTTCGCTTGCTAAGGAGTATGTGGGGAAGTCGCGGTCGATTTTCGAGAGGCATGCTGCGCGTTTCCAGCCTCGACTCTTCCAATATGCTCATCATTTTCTCTAGTTCGTGGGAGAATATTCCATCATCGTCTGAATTAACCACAAATGGAATATTGACGGCAGCATCCACATATGCAGTTTGCTGCGCATCTAATGGGGCCGCATTCCCAGCCGTAACATTTCCATTCGATGAGGGAACAGCCTCACGTCGTAGTCGTTCGAGTTCGGCGTCACCAAATATGTTGGAGCGCAGGATGTACCGAACTCGGTCTGCCAGGTTTTGCTCAGTGACGAATAGAGATGGCTTCAGCTCTGCAAAAAAAGCGATGTATCTGAGCCCGATACGCCAAACATCCAGTTTCTTCCCCTTTTGCCCTAAAGTACGTCCGAAGTGCGTTTGCGTAAAATAATTGTGACCAACGCATGCGACGTGCTCCACCAGCGGCGGGTGCCGCTTGCTGAGTCCGAGAAGACCCAACCGACACCAAGCCTTATGGTGGGGATGATGAATACGGGGGGCTGCTAGGTGGTCTTGCAGCATCCCGCGCTCGTCTGGCGGCCCGCATGCTGTCGCGTCCAGCGCCAGCTCCAGACGCTCGCTGGCGAACTCCAGGCAGCGGCCCTTTGCGCCCTATCTTTTTTCCATCATCCATAATTTGGGCGTCCATTAACGGGAGACGCCCAGGCCCGGCACCGTATCGTGTACGGCCATAAGCACAAACGGGCCTTTGCACCCTAAATTCTGGCGAGGCAAGGTGTAGCAGTTTTGTCACGTAACTGTTCGTCAGCGGGCGAGGGGATCGTCAATTCCCCACGCCACTTTTATTTATTATTATCGGGGGGTATCAATATAGTTTTCTCATCTGGTTGTGTTCTATAAACATATTATTATAAATGAAAATGAAAAGATACATAAATATCAATAACATAAAATAATATAAAAATACATAAATAAATAAAAGCCCAACCAAATGGAAGCTCTCGGCAGGAGAGACCAAACGGCCGAGGGTTAGGGGGAAAGGGAAAGAAACCGACGGACGATGCGGGCGGTATCAAGGAGCACCGCCTTCTGCATTTGACCCTGGAGCGGTCCGCCACGTAGTCCCAGGCGCCTCAGATGACCCGAGAGGCTGACTGGGATTAGCCCGTTTGCAGAGACGACTACAGGAATAATTTCGGTCGGCAGCCCACCCCACATGTCGGTCACCTCGTGAGCCAGGTCCAGATATTTTGTTTGTGTATCTGTTTCGGCTTTCACAAGGTTCTCGTCATACGGAATGATAATCTCGACCAAAAATATCCTTGACTGTGCCCGATCCATCAGCACAATATCAGGCTTATTCGCAAGAATAGTCCTGTCTGTGATGATGGCCCGGTCCCAATAGAGCCTGGCGCGATCATTTTCGAGCACGGCTTCTGGCAAGTACTTGTAATACGGCAATTTCCGGTCCACGAGACTGTATTTCAGAGCGTATTCTTGATGTAGAATTCTGACTACTAGGTTGTGCCTGTGCAAGTACTCAGAGTCAGAAAGCGTTAAACAACCGGAGATGACATGCCTAAGTGACTCCCCGGGATGGCGACAAGCTCGATAGACGTCGACAGTGTCATCCTTTCGGATGTATCTCCGAAGGTTGTTGGTCTTAATAACCTGATCCTGTATTGTACAGACAAAACCCTCGGTTTCCTCGAAGAGATCACCAAAGCGTAGCCAGTGGAGGAAGGCTACTGTGTCTACGAAAGGCTCATGTAGAGCATTGTAGAATCTCCCGTGGAGCTCCTTCTCCTTCCATACGGTCTCCCGGTCGGAAATGCTCTGCACTGCCGGGTCTTGCCATTGCTCGTTGGCTAAGGATAGAGGGGTAAACCCTTTATCACTAGAAATGATGTCATTATAGAATGGATCATCCGATCTCGCCAGAAAGTAATGACGGAGGCTGCACACTTCGCGATTATGCATGGTGAGCGCGCTCAAGAAGCCACGTCCACCATGCTTTCGCGGCAAGTACAGCCTCATTACCGACGATCTCGGATGATGCATCCTATGGGACGTCATTGTAGTGCGGACTTTTCTATCCAGGGCGTTTAGTTCAGTCTGACTCCACCTGAGTATGCCAAACGTATACATGAGGACAGTCATGACCCAACCGTTATATGCGTGTGTCTTATTCACACCGGACAAAAGACTGTTAACCACTTTGGTCAAGCGTGCATAAAACACGTCGCAAACTGACTGTTTCATACCAGCCTCATCGATACCGATGTTCTGTGACATACCCAGGTATCGGTATGTTTCAGCCTCGGAAAGGGTCCTTAAGTTGACGGACATACATAAGTTTATGCCCTCAGAGTTAGCAACCCTTCCCCTTACAACATGGAGGACCGCACACTTATCCGTCCCCAGCTCCATTCTAATAGAATTGCCAAATTCACAAGTGATGTTTAGCAATCCTATAAGATGAGACCGATTGGAGGCGAATCATTTGAAGTCATCCATATAGAAAAGGTGGTATATTATTATTATTAGTTGGGGTATCTATATAGTTTTCTCATCTGGTTGGGTTATATAAATATATAATTATAAATTAAAATGAAACGATAAATATACATAAATATCAATAAAATAAAATAAATACAAAAATACATAAATAAATAAAAGCCCAACCAGATGGAAGCTCTCGACAGGGGAGACCAAACGGCCGAAGGTTAGGAGGAAAGGGAAAGAAACCGGCGGACGATGCGGGCTGTATCGAGGAGCACCGCCTTTTGCATTTGAGCCCGAAGCGGTCCGTCACGGAGTCCCAGTCGCCTCAGATGACCCGAGAGGCTGATTAGTATAATTAGTATCATTATAATTATTATTATTATTATCGTCCGCGGATAACAGAAGAAAGAACTAGTCTTCTCATCCACTCCCATTATATTAAATAAGCCGCGGATTGCAACTTAGGGCGCAATGTATTAATATCGTAGTGCCCGTCTAGTTCTATATAAAGAGGTATTTTCCTGTAAATCGTGGCGATTACAGTATAGTTGTTTAAGGTTATGCAAAATAAGTAATATAAATAAAATATAAGGCCCGGTTTACATTTTGAGAAGTGACAAGTGCGACTGAGAAGTGACAAGTGCGTATTTTATTCCCACTTACCACTTGTCATAACCTGTTCACACTCACTAAGCACTTGTCATTTGTCAGTTGCACTTGCTACTCGCACTTATCACTTCTCAAAATGTAAACCGGGCCTAAGGTTATTTATTACGGTATCCACATACCAATTGTGTCAGGTTTGGTTGCTTGAATATGCATGTATCCCATCTCTTCCAAAAGGGTCCCGAATATTTTGGACATAGGGTACATTCGATCTACCAGATCGGATCTCACCACTAAAGGCGGGTAGATGGCTCCGAGGGTTTCGATGAGAGTCGTTCTTGGTGACATAGAGAAAGCCATATTTGTGTGATAGCCGAGGATCTCCTGCAAATAAAAATTGATAAAATGCATCTATGGTAAAGTTAGAAAGTTACAGCTTAAGTTGTGACCTATGTTATAGTTTGTTTACATAAAATGTCATACGAAATAAACAGGGTTATAGTTCCAAAACATTGTTAATTATCATTTATATACCTATACTTTATTTTACATGATAATTAGTGAAAAGAACTGAAAATAATTACTTGTATCTCGAATCGAAATTAAGAAGTTAAAAAGATGAAATTCGGAACTAAAAAATTAAGACAAATTAAATTAAACGTTAAGGAATCCGTAAAATAAGTTTAATATACGCACGAACGCACGCACGCACGCACGCACGCACGCACGCACGCACGCACGCAACGCACGAACGCACGCACGCACGCACGCACGCACGCACGCACGCACGCACGCACGCACGCACGCACACAATCACACACACAACTAGTCTCGAACTTACTCATTCCTATGCCAACTACTACGGGATCATCTCTTACAGACGCTATAATTTAAATTTATTTTAAACTAGCGATCCGCCCCGGCTTCGCAAGTGTAATTTCTGTATCTCGACAATAGCGCCATCTACCGGGTCCAATTGAGGTTTTAAGCCATTCAAATAAACAGGAAAAAATCATCAAAATCGGTCGAGCCGTTTTCAAGTTTTAGTGAGACCAATGGATAGCGATAGAATTTAGTATATAACAAGTTAACAAGAAGATTTCATTTGTGTAGTAAAATAATATCTCCTTATTATTTGTATTAAAGCAATACTTTTAATCTCCGACGTCAATTATGTGATGTTAAAACCTTGAACGTAATAACCACGTTATTAATTCGTAATTATTAGTTACGTGGTTAATTCGTTTAAGGTTAAAACTATCGTATATCGTATCGTGTATCGTATATATATGATCATGCTTCCAGCTTGTATCTCACAAACCTGGCATGCGATATATGTAATATCGCATGCCAGGGTCGTCAGATACAAGCTGCGCTTAGTTTAGGATCCGCAGTCACATGTTTTTATAATGTTACCTTTTTATATAGAAGACCGGGTCAAACGAGCATGCGACTTACCTGATGGTAAGTGTCTACCGCCGCCCATGAACGTAACGTAACATGAGTAAGCAATTTTCTTAATAGTCCCTAAAACGTATCGGTCCGGAAAAATCGCCGGTGGTAAACAATTCCACAGAGACATTTGTACGAGGAAGACTTACTTACTTATGCTATACTATATACTTATTTACGTTGTTAATATAAGTAAATAAAAAAATATTACCTGAGGGAACATAGTAACCATGTTGCTGGTGATAACTGCACCCCAGTCACCTCCTTGAACATAATATTTCTTGAAGCCGAGTCTGTTCATTAGATTTCTGAATACCACAGCTATTTTATCCACTCCGAGACCTGGGCGTACTGCCGCCTAGAAAAATATTGACTTTCACAAACATGTTTGTTTTGTTTTATTTCCTTTTTTTAACAACATTATGGTACACGATTCTTCGTCGAAAATTGATGTAGATTGGTCACAGTAACCACTTACAGTTTACACTTTAAAAAAAAGTGACATACACTCTGTAAAGACTAGGAACAAACACAAGCTAGTGTTACCAATTTCTCGACTCCACAGTCAGTAATTCATTCTTAAGACAATGTATACACTATTAAAACAAAGTCCCAGAAAATAAACAAGGCCTCTCTATTACCAAGTTTAATTAATTAACTAAACAAAAACTGTATAAAAAGGGTCATCATGATATAAATGAATACGTGGTTGATAATAACCCCCGGGAATGAGGTGGTCGCTTCCAAGCTGTATCTAAAAGAAATTTTGTAAATATTTAGTGACCTCAATGGTCTTATTATGGTATTGTAAATTTTTTTTAGTCTCCCTGGGTTTCTTGCTGGTTCTTCCCAGGACAGAGGTTTTTATCGAACCTGTGGTAAAGTAAAAAAATGACTTTCAATAAGAATTACTTATTAATCTAACTATATCTATATCTAACTTAGTAATCTATATTGAATAAAAATTATTTTATTCTATTCTAATATCAGGTGGAATGTGCTGTGATGGTGCTCATTCGTCATCAAAAATGCTTTTTTTAATTCTATTTAAAAAAGAACTTTTATTATTTAGAGTGGTTAAAGCGAGTATCAGTAATGTTAAAAATGTTACTAGTATTCTTTTTTTGAATATCACTTTATAATGTACTTACATCGGAGAAACCATAGCCCGGTAGACTGGGTATGATGACCTCGAGCGCGAAGTCTCTGTCCTTGCTGACAGCTGTCAGGAGGGGGATTGCAGCATCGAACTCCCGCACCGAGCCCGGCCATCCATGGAGCAGCAACAGTGGGACAGTTTCCACGCCAGCTGGTACCTAATGTCCGTAAAAATCGTATTTAAAATGGATTTTCTCAGTTCAGTTTCAATAACTCATTTTGGTTTATGATTACATTTACACACTGAAGAAAACTAATTGAAGTAAAACTTCATTATGCACGCTTGACTTAGGGAGTTAGCTGGCGTTAGATAGCTGGCTGGGAGAGTAAGCTCACGAACGCGTGACGAAAGCGTTACGAAAAGTGTGATCGGGCGAGGCGAACGGGAGTTGAATGGGGGATATAAGCAAGAGAGAGCAGTGCGCGCGCACATTTGCCTTCTCTCTTTCTCTCATAGCCAGTTGCGTTCCGTATTTTAAGAATTAATATTTTGTTCAATATACAATAAATATTCTACGTTTAAAGTGAATAATTGTAAATTGATTATTTAAAGTACATGTTTTGTGAATTTTCGGGTGAATAATAACAAATTATGGAAGGAAGCGGATAATAAATTTAAATATTTGTAGAAAATTGATATGTATATACATTTATATATTATACATATATGTATGTATACTATATACATACAAATCAAAGACTATATAACCACTTGACTGCACATACAGTGCCCCGACGCTCGAAAACTATTAGTATTTTGTCGCCTATGCATCGGCTATGGTACTATTAACCAATTTAGTATTGTCCAAGTGTTAGACCTGTGTGTACGCTAAATTAATGCAAATTTTTATAACTTTTATGCAATTATAATGCATCAAAATTCGCGGTGAAGTGGTGTGGGAAACATTCCAAGGACAGATGTCCAAAAAGAATGGAGTAACTTTTCATTGCTAAGTAAAAAATACGAAAATTATTGTTGATTAATTCAGATTATGAGCCACCGCAGGGGTCTATCTAAAACGGTGGCCGGGTAAATAACGACATGGTTGAGTCGCACGTTAATGTCTTTTGGAAAAGTCTCGTTCTATTATTAGACAATTCTAATGCTTCTATCCCTTTCTTTCCCCTTGTATGTTTATCGTAAACATTAGTACCTACTTACTGTTATCTTTAATAGCTAAAAGTCGATATCGAAAATAATAAAATTTAAATTAATAAAAAGATTATTTAATTCACACACTGTGAAAAAATACTTATCTACTTTTAACCGTCTTCAGAAAAAAGAGGATGTTCTCAGTTTGTCGGTATTTTTTCTTAGTTAAAGTATATAGTTACCTAGTTAAATTAGTTAGATTGGTGTACCAAATCAGAACGGCTTACAATTTCAAAAGGACACTAAAGACAAGTTATTGTACGGATCCACTACAGTAATAGATATTTGTCGTCGTTGTAACATTTTTAATAAGAGGGCAATCAATGAGAGTGGTTCAAAAGTGCTGCCTTCGAAATATAATACAAATTATTTTATGAGAACTGTATAAAAAACTCTGATTAGGTATTATTGATTCCCGTATATTTATTTTCAACAATTTGAAATATAATCAACAAATCATTAAATTGAATTAGCAAGATGCATAATTTACAAATATGTAGACGCTTGTTTATATTTTTTACAAAGAACAATCAGGACCCTTAAACTTTAATTCGAAATAAATATAACAAATTAATTCATTTTAAAATCAATAATAATATAATATATAAATGTTTTCGTTGTAACTGATTGATTTTGATTAAATATTAATTCTATGATTTTAATTGAGCATTTTTCATAATGATAAAATCCATTTTATCGATAACGAATATTTTCCTTTATTAAGAAGAGCAACCCTAAAGATAGCCATAACAACACAACTTGACCATTTGCAGCCGCGCGTTCTTCCTCGCCCCCCGGCCCGCAGTAGTGAGCCGTGTGCTTAGAAGAAATCTGCCTATACGCTCTCTAGTGGTTATATTCTCTATGATACAAATGGGGCTAAAGAAGTTTTACTTTAGTCGTGTCGTAAGCATACTCGTTTCTTTTTACTAATTTTATCGCATTTAATTTTACTCATTCCGCATCTAAATATACAAGAAAGTCCCCCACGTGACCATAAGTGAAGTACTCAAAAGAGACGAAGTCGTGAATTAAAAATAATAAGCCGCACTGCAGCTGATGTAGCATGAATGGGTCGGCTCAACCGGGTAGGGACCAACGTGGTTTTCTATCATGGTCATCGGGGTGAAAACGTATAAAAATAAAAGTTAAAAGTTACAGCCTATATACGTCCCATTGCTGGGCACAGGCCTCCTCTCACTTCTGAGGATGATGAGGATACATGAAGGATATAAATATTGATTCTTAATTGAGTATACATATAGACGTCTATGGGTCTACATAACGATAAAAACGAGCACATAGTCCATTCACTTACCATGAAGTGGACTATGTGCTCGTTTTTCGACCATATTCTATAAAAAAATACGATAATATCCGTATAATTAATTTTATTCTTTTTTTGACAGAAGGTAAGTCTTATGTGGTCACATCTAATTTTTCTTTTCTATTTTGATGTAAACATTTATTGGCGCGCCTTGGCAATAAAACCGACTATTATGCTGTGACGGCATATGACGTGACACTCTCTTTAGCAGTTATGTTCCTCAACGCCACCGCACCGTTCTCGACTTGAAAGTGCGTGCGCGTAATATACACTTCGTTGCTACTTTGTGTGAGTGCATTGCGCGTGCCTTTCTCTTCATCTATTCTACAGTATACTTGACGCGTTCACCGCTTGTACACCTACACACTTTGTAATTGTTTTACTATATATTTTACTTCATATACCTTTATTGGTTTTCAATAATTATAGATTCTACCATTAACTATGATGTTTCACATATGCCGCGCGTCCCGTGGCGGATAACTTTTCTAAACTTGTCTAAGACCTGAACGTGCTTATTATATAGTACTAAGGGTAATATGGTCATCCGGTTAATATGGTCTTTCTTACAACTTAAAAACTGCAGCCTTGTTTGCATAGATGTCTTTGTGATACGACAGCTCTTCATCGGTCAATCAAATTATAAAGGGTCAAAAGGGCGTTTTTGCTTTCGACGCCATTTTGACAGTTGACATTATTTTATAGTAGTAAATATTTTAGTCGATATCAGTATGGTATGTTGTGTTAGTTTTTTTAAATTGATTTTCGTAGTGTTCCTAATATTACCAAAACTTGTTTGATATTTATTACCTAATATTTTTGCAATACAAGGGCGGCACTGAAAATTTCGAGAATTAAGGAAGTGACACAACATTACTGTTTAAAAATGTATTTATTGCTTTTGGAAGTATTCTCCGCGAAATTTGACACATTTTTCCATACGATGGAACCAATCATTGAAGCAACCATTCCATTTGGAAGTTGGGGTCTCCAAAATGACCGTTTTGTAGGCGTCAACAGCTTCTTCAGGTGAAGAAAATCTCTGTCCACTCAATTTATTCTTTATTTTAGGGAAAGTATAGAACTCATTAAAGCTTAGGTCGGGGCTGTACGGCGGATGGTCTAATTCAATGTTTTCTTGCTCTAAAAACTCTTTTGTTCTGTGTGCGGTGTGAGAACTCGCATTGTCGTGATGGAGGATGATGCGGCGGTTGCAGTTCTCTTTACGAAGTTCAGAAACGACCTGTGGCAAACAAATGCTAGCATACCATTCTGCATTAACCGTTCTTTGTCCCTCAAGAGGAATAGTCGTAACATTGCCGGTTTTGGAGACAAACGTGGCCACCACTTTTTTTAACACTCCGTGAACGAACAATTTTTGTTGGCTTTAACTCATTTTCGAACACCCAAACTCGTGACTGGTTTTTTGTTTCAGGTTCGTACGCGTATATCCAGGATTCATCACCTGATACGATGTTGTATACAGCATTTGAGGATCCTGCGTGGAATCTTTCGAGAGTTATGACGCACCAAGTAACGCGAGCCGCTTTTTGCTCTTCACAGAGCGAATGCGGTATCCATCGGGAAAACAACTTTTTTTACACCTAATTGTTCATGCGAGATTATTTGTATTTGACTCATGCCAATGTCTAAAGTTGCTTGAATTTCGCGGTATGTCACATGTCGATCTTCCTCAATCAGCTTACGCACAGCATCAACGTTTTCTTGGGTGACTGCAGTTTTTGGACGACCTTGACGGGGATCATCACTGAACTTGACACATCTACGTTGAAATTCAGCAAACCAGAGATAAATTGTAGTTTTGGATGGGGCTTCATCACCAAATTCAGAAATCACCCGGCCAACACACTGTTTTTGTGTTAAACCATTTCGAAAGTCATAATAAATCATCGCTCTTGAATTTCCTCGAGTCAATTCCATTTTCTCAACGACTAAACAAGTTTGACAAAACCTTGTGACAAGACCGAGAATCTTTTTTTTAAATAAATAAATGGTATTCGATTTTTAAAATCAAAGAGTTTTCAGTTAAAAAAGATTTTAATATGACAGGAACAGTGGAAATATTCCATTCCCGTTACTTTTAGTGCAGGCTAGTATACGACTTTATGTTTACGTCCCGTTCTCCTCCTAGGTTTGGTTTCGGTAGTTAGAGTGACAACGCTGAAGAGACCGAGAATCTTTTTTTTAAATAAATAAATGGTATTCGATTTTTAAAATCAAGGAGTTTTCAATTAAAAAGATTTTAATATGACAGGAACAGTGGAAATATTCCATTCCCGATACTTTTATATAGCCTAGTATACGACTTTATGTTTATGTCCCGTTCTCCTCCTAGGTTTGGTTTCGGTAGTTAGAGTGACAACGCTGAAGATGACCATATTACCCTCACAAACCTTAGATATTATTATTTGTAATCATCTTCTAGATTTAGAGAGATTTTATTATTGATAACATTCTATAAAAAGCTGCGTATTTTATAAATAAGGTTTTGTTATAGAGCACAGTAACAATAGCAAATACAAAGTAAATTATGAAATTATGGGGGGGCCTATGTTCAACAGTGAAAATTTGACGCGCAACTAATGAAAAATCTGCTAAAAATATTTAAAATTAAAACAAGTAGTAATCAAAATAAAATAAAAACTTTAGGTTTTCATTCAGCAGTGAACATTAACAGGTTGTGAAGGTATATGATTAATAGTTTTTGTATTACTGTCTCATTGGCGTAGGATTAATTGGTCATCCTATCATTTCTTTCAGAAAACATTCTAAAGCGTTTGTGGTTTTGCGTGAAAGTTTGACATTTTTGACGTTTGAAACTTAAATGCAAAAGAAAAAAATATATAGTCGAGTTGTAAGCCTTCTTTTTTGAAGTCAGCTAATAAAAAAAAGAGAATTACAGAAATGAAAACATGTTTTACTGTGATACACTCTGATATTTCATTCTTAGTATAAGATTTAATTTTAAAAATGGCCGTGAATCAAATATATAAAAACATAGATAATACTATACTGATTATTACCTGGGGCTTTAACCTGATGAAGTGGATGTCCAGGCCCTGGATGTTGGTCTTGAACTGCGGGTACTGGTTGAAGGCTTTCTCGCGCTCGCTAAATGGGTATTCTTCAGACCAGTATTTGATCCAACTCTTCATTTGTTTGCTGTTGAAGCCGTATTCGAAGGCTACACCTTCGAGAGCAGGAACGAAAGGACGATGTGCTTTAAGGCGGTCTTTGAGGTCCTTTACCATCTAAAAGATCATAAGTATAATTAGTGTTATCGTCACTTGAAGATGTAGTAAACGAGGAAATATTTGATAAGTCTATCAAACGGTCTCAATGAAGCGACATCGAACGAAACTAAAATTGACCTATTTGACTCTTTATATTTATCTATGACAAAGATGTAAAACATGTTTTATAGGTACAGATACCGTGTACGCGCGCCTAAAACGCTTCCATTTAAAAGGTGCCAATATTGGCGTATTCGTTCGATCGTTCCGCCATTATGCCAGCGACGTTCACTGCGAACATACATCACGCACCAGTGTTTTTAATTTCGGAAAATGACTGTTTGTGCTGTGAAATCATGTAAAAATTACTCTTGGAAAAAAGATAAGAACATCACTTTTCATAAGTAAATATACAATTTTCTGGTGTATTTCTTGATAAAATAATACGAAAGCTGAATGTCAATACAAGTAATAATATTGCGCAATAATATTCGAGTGTTGCCTACCGTATGAAATGTTTTTCCCTATTTTAATGTCATTAATAGATGTAAAGCATGTGTTGACAACGGTTATTTATCCAAAGCAGCCGATACGCAACCGTTGTGAACCGGTTGTTTATCCGACTACAAACGAAAAAGGATGGTTATGATTTTACTGTGTGTGCGGTTGGCTAAGCTGAATCGCTTTTGGAATGGTGCTCAAAAACTACTTGACCTATTTAAGAAATTATTTCACCATTAGAATGCTATTATGACTGTGAAATGTAGGATGTATTTTGATATAGAGGGCACTACCATCAACGAATATGTTTTTTAGCTAAACTCGTAGAGTTCTTGACCGATTTTGAAAATTCTTTTACCACTAGAATGTTATGTATAATTAAAGATGTCTAATGTAGGATGTATTTTATTATAGATGGCACTACTTTCTATGAATATGTTTTATTTGGCTTATCTCAAAAATTACTTGACTGATTTTGAAAATTCTTTTACCGTTACATTACTAATGAGGGCTTTAGTTGTGTGATTAAATTATATTATTATAATAATTATGTTATATTATTATTTGTTATATAATTATGTTATATAATTATAATATAATGTTCAATTCACTTTCATGTCAAGGGCACTTATACACAATCAACATTGATTTTATATATTTTTTTATTTATTTACAGGTTTTACAGTACAAAATGTAGCCTTTAAACACACAATCTTTTATTGTCTTCCAGTGGCAGGATTTAATTGATTTTACGCAATGATTTGATGTAGTCATGAAACTGTATCGATATATGAAATTTAAAAAAAAAATAAACATTTGCTATCACTTGGCCGATGTTTACACTTAACCCAACTTACTTTTGTACGTCATTTTACTTAAGATTAAAAATAATTAATGTCTTCGCGTCAATATTTTGGGTTTTAAGGTACGAAAGTGTAGTACTCTATATATATTCAATAATAATAGATTAGTTCAATATATGTTAGATACATAAATATCTAATGTGAGTTTTGATTTATTTTTAACTGTTACGTTAATTATATCTAGTTTTTATTACTTATCTTCACTATTTTAGTGCGATTTTCGTACAGACCTACATAAAACACACATAACCACCCATATCCCTTGTGTGTGTATATCCCCATTCACATACGTACAAAAATACATACGCCTCGCACACATATTTTACACTCAGTTATGTCAATATGAATGAAATATAAAATCTCCCAAATTTTTGGGCAATCGATTCGCGCTATTATTACCGAAGTCACGCACACTAATGCAGGCATGGTACGTAAGATATAGGCGTCACGTGGTACTCACGCACACGTGAATTAAAAACTGGCGTCACAGTAAACGGTGTGATGTGTTAGCAACACGGTATCTGTACCTATAAAACATCTTTGATCTATGATAAATATGCCTAGTTGTTTATGAATTGCAGTTACAACTTTTTACATCGACCCAAATAAATAAAGTTAAATTTATACACACAAATAGTATACGTAAATTTATTTATGATAAATATACCTAAATATGTTTGTCTTTAAATTGCAGTTACAACTTTTATCATCATTCATATTCATCTAACGGCGCCTCTACACGTTGGCCAACACAGTGGCGAATGTAGTGGCCAATAGCATTGGCCAACGTGTAGACGGGGTGTTTGGGCTTCATTGGTATGTATTGGAGCGATGGCCCGCAAGTTGGCGCGAGATCCGTGTGGTGTCGGTTTTTTACAAAAGATCAAAGGATTGTTGGCAGAGTTTGGTCGCCGCGTCCACACGTTGGTCGCGCGTTTAGTTTGCTACAAGCTCCCAGAGTGATTACACGCATCTGATTTAAATTTTATATTCAAGCTTTGTAGGGTGGATGCCCCAATTACCAGCCTTTTAGTGCCAATTTCAACTTTAAACATTCCTACTACTTTAATTAGCGCAATTTAGTTATTATTGAACATTTGTTTTAATCAATAAGCTATTTATCAAAAAAAAAAAACGTTTTTTTACAATCAGATTATTACGAGAACGATTTTAAAATGAAAAAAAAATGAAGCACGTCGTTTATACGTGGTAGAACCATGCAATTATACTAGAAGTATAGTTGCAGCACGAAGGTCGGCTCGACCGGGGAAGGACCACGCTCTCACAGAATATCAGCATAAAATAGTAGCTTAATGATGCTGTGTTTCGTATAGTGAGTGTAGAGTACCAGAGACCTTTTTTAAAGGGAACGAGGCATTTCATCTTAGTCTTCACGGGTGACAACGCATCTGCATTTTGATTCGTAATCGAGGATAGATGTAGATGTCTGTGGGCCACAGTAACCACTTACCATCAGGTGAACTGTGTGCTCGTTTGTCACCCTATCCTATAAAAAACGTCGATTTCTTATAATTTAATCGTGCAAGTTTTCTAATCATCATCATCATTACAGCTCTTCACAAGTCTACTACTGAACATCCTCCTCCACAGACTGCCGCAAAGCATGGCCCTGAGCCACTTTGCTCGTCATGAGTTTTTCATTTATGTTGTAAGTTATAATTAGTACCTATTATTAAGTCAGTGTTAATTATATTTATTGCTATTGTTTTTGTCTTTCTCAAAAAATAATTAAATTACCAAATAAATTATAAGGTGTTTTTATATACATCAAATGTCTGATAGAAATGCAAGTACATATTTTGCTAAACTTTAAAATCAAAACCCAATTTTAAAACATAGACTAATCGATTATAACTCCTTTAACTTTAAAATAAGTTAAGTTCTTATTAATGTTATTTATTCCAGTTTATGATGCACGTAAAGAATAAATAAAGCTAATCGTATAATATCGTATATCTATTTACAACCCCATTAATAACCACTATTATTTTATAATTCTTTTATAAAAACGTTAACCTCACACTAGGATTTTCTCCCGTATCGCGCAGGCAGTTTACAAACATAAATTGCACAAGGACACACATCCAGACCCGAAATAATTATTTGTAGGACATACAAATACTTGTTCCGTGCGGGATCAAACCCGCGGCGCCCGACGCAGCCACTCATTGCTGAGCCACTGCGCCACGGTGCTTATAAATTCGTCCGCACATTGGCCCGAACCGAAGTAAACTGAACGACCTTCCAACGTGTGGACGCCGTCACCAACTCTCGGCCAATATATTCGCCACTACATTCGCCACTGTGTTGGCCAACGTGTAGGGGCGACATAACGGAAAATACTGAGAAATTAACAATTAAAATATGAATATCATAATAATCTAAAACAAACTAAAGCGATTGTCTAGTAGTTTTACCGATATTATAAGTTAAATAGTGCACTGTTGAATAATTCTTCTTCTTCTTCCTTGTTTTATCCCTTTATTTGGGGTCAGCTCTTAAATATGTTAAATAATTAATAGTACTTATAAATCAAAGTTAGTAGTAGGTAATTCAGCATTTATAGGTACTTTAAGATTGATGAAAAATCCTTTTAGTAGTTCCGAAAAAACATAGTCTACAGATAAGCGAGCGTGATGTGCAACCTATTTTTTACATGTATTGATTATTTAGCGAGTATTAATCTCAAACATCATTACAATAATTAAAGAAATATGATTAGAGCCAAGATAAGGAATAATATGGCCAATTGAAATATTACCTATGTATACGCTATATGATGAAGGTGATGAGTAAATAAATACAAAAAAGCAGCAACGTGACGAACGTTAATGCTGTATAGTAATACCACGGTAATATTATCTATACAGTATTGTAACTCGGCCGTATCACGGTAATATTATCTATACAGTATTGTAACTCGGCCGTATCTTTTAAATAAATGCCTACAACCGCGCGGTACGTAAACATGTGATAGGGCTGCCTGCTTCCAGCATTTTTACATTTGCCTACTTTGTGTTTCCATTTAGTTTTATGATTGTAAATATACTTTTTATATAAACAAATAAAATAGGTACTTTGTGAATTGAATAGGAAGTGTTCAATAAAAATGCGTGTCGTTTTTTGATTGGTAGATTTAATTAAAAAACCATGTTTATGTTTGAATAACAAATCGGTCTTATAAATTTGCGACCGAAAAATATTTGCGCCTCGACTGAGACTTACGAAATGCTTTATTATTAGATTTTTAAATATAAAAAATCCGCTTTCTAATATAAATAGTTGTCCATGTTTTGGGAAACATGGACAACGTGGAGAAAAAAGGAATATCTTTTAATTGGTTATAGATACCTGCAGCTACTTTACAATTTATATGTTTGGTTTTAAATGAAGTTCAGATTTATTATTTCTTTATTTCTATTCTATTATTTATTTCCTCCATTTTTTATATATTTCACAAAATCATTACTGCGGCACAGTCTCGACTGTGCATGCCGAGATCCAGGCGCGTAGGCATAGCTCTCGCTTCGTCCGTTTGTATGAAGTTGGAATAATGTATAGATAGTATTACCGTGATAATACGTACCCGGAAGTCAATGACAAAATAGGGGTATTAATACGTTTCGTTCCACGGTCACTTTGAACCATATTACATGATAGCTTTTAGAAATCGGATCAAAAACTAGTTTTTAGTGGTATCTCCTTTTAATGATAAATATATAATATACAAATACATAATATATGTATATGTATATAATAAGTTATCATTTTCAAAAATATTTTTGTATTATTCAAAATATTACATTATATCACACGAATATCTAAATAACCTTTTTTTTACAGATTTCATGATTCCTGTTAGATTTTCATAAAATTCTTAGGCCGTTTACTATAATAAATTGGTATCTTTTTTATGTGTAATACAACTAAGTTAAGTTATGTATGTACCGGTAGGCGTAGTGTAGGGCGACCCCCCACTAGATGGAGTGACGACCTGGTAAGATATGCAGGAAGTCGATGGATGCAGGTGGCTCAGGACCGTGCTTTGTGGTATTACTTGGGGGAGGCCTATGTTCAGCAGTGGACTTGTGAAGGGCTGTAATGATGAATGATGATGAAGTTATGTGTAATACCACTAAGTTACGTCAAACGTTAAAATTTCTGGTGGAGCAAAAAAGATTGTCTCATTTAAATATAGCCGTATTAGCCGTAGTACCACAGGGTTTTTGTTACAAGTTGTATAAAAATAATATGAGTTGCACGTTGATGTCAATTAAATTTAAGAATTCAAATGTAAATTGTTACTAAACTTAGATGTTATTTACATATGGTAGGTAGTATGTATATATTACGTTTATTTCTTTGGCACGCTCTGCAGATTAACATTTGCAATGGGCCGTTATTCTCTTTGCGCTTATTTGAAAGCACGGGTCTCCAGCGGTTGGGTTTAATGATTTCGACTAACAATATTTTCAAATTTATCAACTAATTATAGATTAAAATTATTTGTTATCTTGCTTTGTGAAGCCTTTCCATAAATACATATAAACAGGTTATGTAACATGCAACACAGTAAATTATTGAAAAAGAATCTAATATAACGTCGTTAGATTTGCCTTAATTGTAAAAATGACATAGGCTATATAATATTTATATGTTGCGTCTGCAAATACAAAAAGGGAAGGTTAGGTTTTTTTTCAGTAAACTTTTTATCCCTGTATGGTTTGTTAATTACTGTTTTAACATTAATGTTGTTAGTAAGTCAGAACAGTCTATGTTATTTTGATTTTTGAGCATATAATCAAATCTATTATTCAGTATTTATATCATAGATGGTATATATATATATATATATATATATGTATATATATATATATTATGGTTGGCGTTATGGCGCTATTTTAGTTAACGTTATGACCTTGGAGGCATACAAGGTCATAACGTTAACCAAAATGAGACAAACGGCTCTCATCGAACAATATTACTGATAATATAAAACGTAAAGAACTTACCGTTTCGTCGAATTTCACTTTGAACGGCTTCAAACTGGTATCCTGCTTGGTCTTCATCTGCTCCGGGCCCCACCATTCGTTCAAATCAATTTCTGGTAGAGGTGGTGGACTTTTGAAGAAGACGAAGTAGACCGGTGCTCCCAGCGCGACCAGTAATAGCACGAGTAGCACACGCGCCATCTAGTGATTTTTTATGAATTACCTAGGGTTTATTCTTTACATGGTCTCTTAACAATTATTTCTTTTATTTAAACGAATACTAATAAACTTCTTAGTTTCGCGCGCTTTAGAATAATATTTTAAAGTTGAAGTTTTTTTATAGTATAAGTATAGTATAAGTTGCCAGCCCTGAGGACTCGATGGAATGCCTCGTTTCCAGTAAAAAAGGTCTTTTTGGCTCTCTACACTCACCATACGAAACACAGCACCAATTTTAAAATCGTTGCACCTGCCTGGACTGAGATGACTGATGTCCCGATGTCATGGTTAAACCCGGAGTACCTTCAGCTTTTTCATTAGTCATCTCAGTCCCCCGTGACCATGGGTGCTGGAAAGCGCCCGAAACGTCGGGAATTAAAAATAATAGTAATTAAAAGTAAAATAAACGCGATAAAATCCGTAAAAGTAGTTTTAATCAATGTGTGGTGTTCGCGTAAATATAAGAAATCATTAAGTTCTTTTTTTTAACTGTCACTAATACTATGTATTATTAGTTTATTTTTCTGTCATACTTGTTGTCATATTTTGTTTTGCTGTGCGCACTTTATTGGATTATAGACTAGTTAAATTATTTTTGATACTGTAAATGTGTTTTGTATTGTCTTCAATCTGTTTGTTAAAGTTAATAAAATAAAAAAATATGTTCCTAAAGTTTTCATTACGATCGGTTCAGCCATTTCGAAGGTTAGCTTAACAAGTTATCAGGAATACGCTGCTGCCCATCTCCTGGTTTCTCTCCCTGTTGACTGAGACTCTAGAGGGGGACAAATATATAGTTGAGTTAGTATTGGATATGCTTACACCACCATAACTTTAGTTTTAATTAATAGAAGTTGGCAACCCTAATACCTAGGCTGCACTAAATGTATCGGGAATGGAATATTTCCACTGTTCCTGTCATATTAAAATCTTTTTAATTGAAAACTCCTTGTTTTTAAAAAATCGAATACCATTTATTTATTTAAAAAAGGATACTCGATCTTGTCACAAGGTTTTATCAAACTTGTTTAGTCGTTGAGAAAATGAATTGACTCGAGAAAATTCAAGAGCTATGATTTATTATGACTTTCGAAGTGGTTTAACACAAAAGCAGTGTGTTGACCGGATGATTTCTGCATTTGGTGATGAAGCCCTATCCAAAACCACAATTAATCGCTGGTTTGCTGAATTTCAACGTGGACGTGTCAAGCTCAGTGATGATCCCCGTCAAGGTCGTCCAAAAACTGCAGTCACCCAAGAAAACGTTGATGCTGTGCATAAGCTGATTGAGGAAGATCGACATGTGACATACCACGAAATTCAGGCAACTTTAGACATTGGCATGAGTCAAATACAAATAATCTTGCATGAACAATTAGGTGTAAAAAAAGTTGTTTTCCCGATGGATACCGCATTCCCTCTGTGAAGAGCAAAAAGCGGCTCGCGTTACTTGGTGCATCAGAACTCTCGAAAGATTCCACGCAGGATCCTCAAATGCTGTATACAACATCGTATTAGGTGAAGAATCCTGGATATACGAACGTACGAACCCGAAACAAAAAACCAGTCACGAGTTTGGGTATTCGAAAATGAGTTAAAGCTAACAAAAATTGTTCGTTCATGGAGTGTTGCAAAAAAAATGGTGGCCACGTTTGTCTCCAAAACCGGCCATGTTACGACTATTGTCTTGAGGGACAAAGAACCGTTAATGCAGAATGGTATGCTAGGCATTTGTTTGCCACAGATGGTTTCTGAACTCCGTAAAGAGAACTGCAACCGCCGCATCATCCTCCATCACGACAATGCGAGTCTCACACCGCACAGAGAACAAAAGAGTTTTTAGAGCAAGAAAACATAGAATTATTAGACTATCCGCCGTACAGCCCCGACCTATGGCCTAATGATTTCTATACTTTCCCTAAAATAAAGATTAAATTGCGTGGACAGAGATTTTCATCACCTGAAGAAGCTGTGAAGGTGTGGACGCCTACAAAACGGCCATTTTGGAGACCCCAACTTCCGAATAGAATGGTTGCTTCAATGATTGATTCCATCGTTTGTAATAATGTGTCAAATTTCGCGGAGAATACTTCGAAAAGCAATAAATACATTTTTAAATAGTAATGTTGTGTCACTTCCTTGATTCCCGAAACTTTCAGTGCCTCGTAGTTTGGAAAGACAGACATACAGATAGACAGGCAAAGTTTTTGAGCCCTGAGCATAATAGAAGCCAATTATTTTAATTTCAGATTACAGACCGACACTTTAGGTGGTGCATCTATATTAGTCGTATAGTTGCAGCACGAATGGGTAGGCTCGACCGGAGAAGGACCACGTTCTCACAGAATATCATAATCAAATAGTAGCTTAATGCTGCTGTGTTTCGTATGAGTGTAGAGAACCGGAGACCATTTTTACTGGAAACTAGGCATTCCATCTAAGTCCTCACGGGTGACGACGCATCTTCATTTTATTCGTAATCGAGGATAGATGTAGATGTCTATGGGTCACAGCAACCACTTAACATCACGTGGACTATGTGCTCGTGTGTCGCCCTTATTCTATAAAAAATATATATCTCATAATATTATTGAACTCCATACTTTACATTTTACATTGCATATTTCAGCGGAACTTCTTTCGTCAAACAGATTCTGGTTTAAAATTGAAACTTAATCAGCTTCACGGTTTAGAGGTAGATTTTGCAAAAAGTTTCTTCTAAAATCATTCAATACCAAAATAAAATTAAGTTATACCTCTTTGATTATTATACCCGTCTATATAATTAAAGTTATACCTATAACCATTGTGTTATACAAAAGTGTAATATATAAATAAATGCCTATATCGCCATTGCGCATAGATCTACGCGATTGTATTATAGTATAGTCGTCAAGCAACATTGATAGGTAAGTAATTTAGCTATTCCAGCCACTTGTCGGCGATATCATAAATATACATGAAATAAAACTTTATCATCTAAGCCACTAGGTCGTTTTTGTTTTGATTCCAATTTATGATTCTCTAAAAATAACTGTTGACTACATCAATATGACTAGAAAAACGAAGGTATCTTTATTCCATTGTACCATTCGTTGGGTTTGTGGCACAGAACATACTGTACCTATATTGAGAGTATATACCTTCTAATGGTAGATACAGTATGTTTTAATTTCGAATGCAATCATATTACAATTATGTTTAGAGTTAAGACACAAAAATAAAAAAATATCAATGATACGACATTACTTTCACACTTTACTAGTTGCCCACTCGTTTCCTGATTAGGAGTTCGTCTGGATCGGTACCAGCCTCTTACCTATTTCTGCTTGCACAGCTGTGTTTCGATTGGAAGGGTATTAGAAAGTCGGCGTAATTACCGACTGTGTGAGGTTTAAACGAAGCCAGTAATGCTAGCGCAAGTCTTCAGACAAGCCAGCGCTGGCCTGGCCCGTGTTGTTTAGACGAGGCTAAATGGATTCGTATCATTCCTAGATTATTCTTGCAAATCGTTGTATTAAATTAATTATTTTGTAAACTTTAACTGAAAATAATGTTTATCATATAGTACATACATCAGTTATAGGAATTTGTACAATATTTATATTACAAGTAAAATTTTTATATTACAAATTATTACACTAACAATTATTATATTAGTGGGTAGTATAGTTGTAGCACGAATGGGTCGGCTCGAGCGGGGAAGTAGAACGCTCTCACAGAATACCAGCGTGAAATAGTAGCTTATGCTGCTATGTTTCGTATGGTGAGTGTAGAGAACCGGATACCCTTTTTACTGGAAACGAGACATTCCATCTTAGTCCTCACGGGTGACAACGCATCTGCATTTTATGAGGAGATTTGTAATCGAGGATAGATGTATATGTTTATGGGCCGCAGCAACCACTTACTATCAGGTGGACTGTGTGCTCGTTTGTCACGTTATCCTATAAAAAAATTATTCTGGTGCGGTGGTTGCGGGGCACGCGGGCGGAGGTCACTGGCTTGAAAAATAGGCAGGCGCTCTAATCCTGTCAGTGCTCGCAGCCAGCGTTGGTTTGTCTTGAAAAACTGTTTATATAAGGCCAATAACAAGACAGCACTGGCTTCGTCTAAACCTTGCTTTAGTCCTCAGAATTGGCAACACATTTTTAGCTTGCTTTGTTGGAAGTTGGCTGCAGTTGTCCAAGGTCTGCAGCAGGTACTTGCCATCAGATGTACTGTAAATTTGTTTGTCACCTCAGTACTATACTTCATTCACCAAGACCGAAATGAAACAAATATAGATTAAAATGGTCATTTAAAATATTACCATGCACATTTTATCTTATCAAAAACATTTAAAACGCAAATAGCTGATTGAAAAGAACTTTCAATAACACCCAATTATAATCACCACACATTTTAAGACACGTATACATTGATAACTTTATATATGTACATGTAAGAATAGCCTTTATGATGATACACATAAACAACTAAATGGGTAATTACACCGTGTGGTACATAGCACCTATAAGGTATAAAGTTCAGTTTACCTTGGCCTTCACTTTAACCGGCGTTGAAAAAAAAAACACGTCTGCCCGGGTCAAGGAACGCGTAAAGACTGAACTGAAGTCAAGTAAGTAAATTATACGATATAAATTATATGATTATGAGCAACACAAGGCATACAATCGCTATTACTATACTATTATGTTGTGCAGTTGTGTATTGTGATTGCGTGTTCGTGTCATATTACACAATGGGATGTTTATCGCTTGACATAGATTTCTCTGTAATTGTGCGATAAGCCTATATAATAATAATGTCCTCCAGACCGAATTTCGGTCACGGCGGCCCGCCTCAACGGAGACTAGCTAGCTAGCACAGGACGAGATTAAAGTGCCCAAGTGTACGCACAGGCACAGGTGCGCTCTCTATTCCCTAATTCTTATATTCGATGAGACGGTAAGCCGACACGACCGGAGAGAGATCAGGCGCAGGACCAACTGCTTTACATGCTTTCCGAGGCACGGGGGTAAGACACCGCCAATTTCCTGACACCGGGTCCGAGGACTTGGCAGAAAAACTCAATAATTATTTTTTTGGCCCGACCTGGGATTCGAACCCAGGACCTCATGATCTGGCTTTAACTGAACACTGAAGACGGCTCGGTGACGCAGTGGTTAAGCGTTCTGCACATTTAATTCGGGATAATTTCAAATAAAAGTAGAAGCCTTATTTAGTCGTATTTTCAAAAACAGTATATCATTATTTAAATATTTGAACATAAGTTTAAAACAGTAAAAGGTAAAGACTAACTGGCCGTAGACTAGAGCCTAGCCAGCTATAGCACGAATGTGTTTGCTCGACCGGGGAATGATGCTGGGTTTAATGCTGCTGCGTTTCGTATGGTTAGTACAGAGAACCGGAGACCGTTTTAACTGAAAACGAGGCATTCCATTCATACTAGGGATCACCACGCATTCTGTATATTGAATACATGTACATCTACAGACGTCATATGGGCGACAGCATCTACTTACCATCAGCTGAATTGTGTGCTTGTTCGCCAAGATGTGTTTCCATTGAAACTTTCTATTTTGGCAACTATTTACAATTATACTATAGCTGACGTAAAATACCGACGCTCCGGTAAGTCTGCAGTCTGTGAACATGTTCAAGATCGACCTTGCAACTACATTAGATTTAAAAGACCACAAATCCTCGCAAAAGAACATCGATCCCTACCAAGGATGTTACGCGAGACTATTGAAATTAAAAAATATCCTAATTTCAATAGAGAAGATAAATTGGTGCTACTCTCTTGCTACTTGCTACTCTCTTGCTATTTGCTACTCTCTTACTACTCTGCTTGGGATTCTACGATTAATAAAATTAAATCCAAACCTACAACTACCACTGTAAAACTTCAAAATACCTTAAGCTCATTCTGCGTAGATCGGACCAAAAATTTAAAAACAAAAATCGAAGGTAACTCGGCTAACTATGACATCGGGACGTTAAATACCTCAACCCCCTCCCCCCTCACCATGGGTGCTGATGGCTGCAGCACCCGAAACGTCGGGATATAAAAGGTTCAAATTAAACACTATAAATTCCGTTGAATTAGTTTCATTTAATATTTACAATTTTCGTAAAGCCACCAAATTGGTATCCATTTAGTCTAATATATACCGATATAATAAGTAGTCAAAAATTTTACTTAAATTTTAGTTGATAGTTATAGATAGTTGATTTAGCCGTCTTCACCAAGACAAAAAGACTAGATACATAAAATTAATAAAAAATTTATTAGAAATATTATTAAAATTAAAAAGTCCTTCTTTCCGTAGTAGTGCCAAGATTACTGGCTGTGTCTCCTCGCTGATTGGCTATACTTAGCCTTTGAGCGAGAAAAGATCCAGCCTTGTTATCACTAGCATTGATGACCAGTCGCGGATATAGTTTCTTTAGGAACTTCGCCATACGAGGACCCCTCGGACAATATTTAATTGACAAAATATCATCGAATGACGAAATCTCTATCCTTTCGCGTAAACTGCGCGCTGCTCAGTCTCCTCAGGACCGTCTCCTTGCTCTTTCTGAGCACATCGACCTACTAAGGTCGTTGTAATATTACTATGCCGGAGCCCTCTGCTCCCGCAATATCGCACGGTCGTATCAAACCAAAGGGTTTGTCGCTTGTTTTGTTCAATATCCGCGGTTTGCGAAATAACCTCCCAGAGCTTAAGCTCTTTCTTCGAGATCGCGAAGCCAACCTCCTCCTCCTTCAGGAGACCCACCTCAGCCCTAAGGTCTCTAAAGGCCTCTCTATTAAAAATTATTCACTTCTTCATAATGACAGACCCGACCGCAAAGGCGGCGGTACTGCCATTTATTACAAAAAGTCCCTTCATTGCTCCCACATCCCCACTCCGATGCTTACCAGTATGGAAGCCACTATCATTAGATTAGCCATGACTAAACACCAGTTTATCATTATAGCCTCTTGCTATATTCCTAGCGGAACCCTCCCCGTTAAGAGTGATTTCGAAGCCATCCTTGCATTAGGCGACTCAGTCATTATGTTTGGAGATTTTAACTCCAAGCATACTAAATGGACGGCAGGGTGCTGCCCAAAATCACTCAGTCTCTCGACCTGTCTACAGCCCCCCTCGCTGTCACCCACTATCCCGACAACATTAACTACGCTCCTGACGTGCTAGACTTTGCTCTAGTTAAAAGAGTCTCCCTTATCTTTAGAGCAATCGAGTCTCTCGATGATCTAGGAGCCGACCAGCGTCCTGTATCCCTCCTTCTTGGCCATCAGCCACCTCCAACTCCCACTTCCAAAACCTACACCAACTGGAAGGGCTTCAGGAAGTCTCTAGCCTCGACTATAGACTCTCCGGACCCTCCCATAACCCTTTCTTCCGACTTCCTCGACAGTACGGGGGAAAATAGACACCGCGGTCGAAAATCTCACCTCTCTTATAACATCCTCTCTTAAAGAGAATGAAAAGGTTATCCCAATTGCGAAAACTAGTCTTCCCCTAGATATTAGCAACCTACTCAAAGCCAAAAAAGCTGCCCTCCGTAGAGCTGCACGCTATCCCACTCCCGAGTATAGACTCGCAGCCCACCGCCTTCAACGCAAACTCCGTTACCACCTCAAAGACTTCAGAGACCTCGAAAGGGGCAATCTCATGGAGAAAATCTCCCCCTCTCACACAGCGTACTACCAGATGGCGAGAGCCCTCCGGATAGACGCTATCACGCACACTCCCCCTCTGTCTCGTCCTGACGGCTCTATTGCCTTCGAGGACGCAGAAAAGGCTGATTGCTTCGCCGACAGCGTCGCCGCTCAATGCTCTTCCAGCTCACAACCCACTGACCCCCTACATATCCAACTAGTGGAGGACGAGGTCCGTCGCCGGAACTCGCCCCCCACCGCCTCTGACCCTATCACTGTGTCCAAAGATGAGATCTCATCTACCATCAAAGGACTTAAGCCCAAAAAAGCACCGGGTGCGGATGGCATCTCCAACCAAGCCCTCAAACACTTTCCGGAGCAGGTGATCGCCTTATTGGCCATAATCTTCAACGCCTGCTTCGAATTCAGTTACTTTCCCTCCTCTTGGAAAGAGGCAACTGTCATTGGCATTCCTAAGCCAGGCAAAACCTCACCACCTCCCCCTCCAATCACCGTCCCAAAAGCCTCCTCAAGGCCATGGGCAAACTTTTCGAACGAGTTATTCTCGTGCGCATGAGGCGCCATTTGTTTCCCACAGACGGCGACCCTCTTGTCATCTCACTCATCTCTTGTCATCTCAACAATTCGGGTTTCGTGCCAAACACTCGTGCCCCCAGCAAGTTCACCGCATAGTGGAATTTATCATCAGCGGTTTTTATCCTCGTCGTCAAAAGACCATCACGGTCTTTTTCGACATTGCCAAGGCATTCGAAAGAGTCTGGCATGAGGGTCTTATCTACAAATTGTACGACTTAGGCCTCCCTGACTGCCTCGTCCGCCTTGTAGCCTCCTATTTGAAGGATCGTACCTTTCGTGTTAGACACGAAGGCACGCTATCCTCTACTCATCAAATCAAAGCCGGTGTCCCTCAAGGCTCTGTGCTTGCCCCTCCTCCTATATATACTATTCACCAACGACATCCCTATCCCGGCGAATGGTGTTAAATTAGCCCTCTTCGCAGATGACACAGCCCTTTTACTCTAAAGGCAACTTCACTGCCACAGATTCGGAACAAGATCCAAAAGTCAGTTAACGACTTAGGAGCTTGGTTCCAAAAATGGCGTATCGACGTAAACCCGGAGAAGAGCTCCGCCGTTTGCTTCGAATATAAACGACGCCGTCTCACCGCCACTCCGCCAATCAGGATGTTAGGAACCCCTGTCCCATGGCAAACAAAAGCCAAATATTTAGGCGTCACCCTTGATGCAAGGCTCACTTTCGAGCCCCATATCAAGAAGGTAACTCGCACCGCACGATTTTACATGGATAGGCTCAACAGGATGTTGGGCAGACACAGTAAAATAATATATAAGGTTTGCATACGACCTGCCATGACCTACGCGGCCCCCATTTTCGCACATGCTAAGCCCAAAGTTATAAATGAACTTCAAATAGTTCAAAATCTATTTTGTCGTAGGGCCACTAACTCGCCCTATTATGTCCGTAATACCGACCTACACCGAGACTTAGAGCTCCCAACAATCCAGCAGTTCCTTAAATCACTCTCTGAGAGATTTTTCAAAGCCTCAGAGTCCCACTCAAATCATCTCATTCGTGAGACAGCTGCCTATGCAGCCCCTATCCACACTCGCTATAGTTTACGCAAACCGAGAAACTCTCTCTCGGACCCCCTCAACAAGCTTTCGGCTGACCTGAACTGCCTCCTGGCAGCTCAGGCCGTAACATATACATAACACATCCCTTAATGTGCCTTAGTTAGGCACACTTCTAAGCGGCTTTTCGCCACTTGTGCCCTCCTTTCTGCCAAGGAGGGTCGCGTTCGTATACGGCTTAGAGATCTCTCGTTAGATCGGTAAGCCAATCCATAAAGGCGGTGTTTAGTGGGTAAAAGTCTCCACATAACCACGCAGCC